TACTCAACTGGGCACCTGCACAACTACAGTACAGATTCAAGGGTATACATTCGTAGCAAGCTGCCTTGTTCTACGTGAATGCTCCCGTGACGTCATTATGGGAGTTGACTTTCTACTGGAAAATGGAGCTATCATTGATCTGCAAGTGTGCCGCGTTACGTTTTCAGTCCACCGAGCAATCAACTTGCAAAATGACGGAAGGCATGTCGACGTACTCTGTATTTCTGAACAGAGTGTGACGCTTCCTCCACAAGCAAGTGTTCTGGTCGACGTAACATGCTGTAGTTTGAGCGATGGTGATGTGGTGACCGAGACAAATTTAGAACACCTCCTGCAGCAAGGCATCTGTGCAGCTAGAAGTGCAATATACCTTCGTAATGGCCGATCTGAATTGCTCGTTACCAACTTTAGCAACGAGCATTGACACCTTTTCTGTGGTACTTCGATAGCATTTGCCCACGAAGTAGCAAACGTCACCAACTGTCTCACGTCAGAACTAGTGGATACCGCAGACACGTCAATGAGTAATATTGACATCAATCCTGATCTGTCCACCGATAACCAGACTGCACTGCGAGCGCTCTTGTTCAAGTTCAGGTCTTGCTTCGCAAGTTGCTCAAAAATCCGCCAGACGTCTATCACTCAGCACAGGATCATTACGTACGAGGACGCACGCCCGATACACCAGCACCCCTACCGCGTGTCGGCTAAAGAACGTGAAGTAATACGTACGCAAGTCCACAAGATGCTTGACGATGGTGTTATCGAACCATCGAACAGCCCGTGGTCATCTCCAGTCGTGGTTGTCAAAAAGAAGGACGGGTCACTACGCTTGTGCGTCAACTACCAAAAGCTTAAAACGTGACTAAAAAGAATGTGTAACAGCTGCCACGTATCGACGATTCGCTGGATAGACTTCGTCGTGCCCATTATTTCACTTCTCTCGATCTCAAAAGTTGGTACTGGCAAATCGAGGTAGATCAGCGAGACCACGAGAAAACAGCCTTCGTGACTTCAGACTGCCTATACCGATTTCGAGTACTCCCTTTCAGCTTGTGTTCGGCGCCGGCAACTTTTCAGCCAATAATGGACACTGTCCTCACAGTGCTCAAGTGGCAGACTTGTCTTGTCTACCTTGATGATGTGGTGGTCTTCTCTGCCACGTTTGAGCAGCACCTTCACCGCCTGCGCAGCGTGCTGAAGGCTATTTGATCGGCGGACCTCACACTAAAGCCACAGAACCGCCACTTCAAGAACTCAAATTTCTTGGACATGTAATTAGCGCCGAAGAAGCCCAGCCCGATCCGGACAAGCTTGCTGCTGTTGCCGAATTACCAGCTCCTGTCGATAAGAAAGCCATCCGGCGCTTCCTTGGTTTGTGCGCCTACTATCGCCGGTTCATTCACGGCTTTTCACAGATAGCAGAACCTCTGACTCGTCTCACGAGGGACGACACGCCGTTTGTCTGGGAAAACGAGCAACAAGCAGCTTTTGATGAACTGCGACAGCGCATGCAATCAGCGCCCGTTCTCGCTCACTTCGATGATGATGCTGACACGGAGGTCCATACTGACGTTAGTAACGTTGGGCTCGGTGCAGTACTCGTTCAGCATCAAGAAGACATCGAAAAAGTGATAGCCTACGCCATGCAAGGCACTCCTTTTCCGTAGTGTAATAATTCGCCTCGGCCGTAGAGAAGCCGAAATGGCACGAATCGCGTGGTCTCTTGCACGGTGGTAGGCTGTCTGACGACATGAAGGGTTGTGCGTGACAGTGTGTCAGCGTCTTCATGCTATCAGCCGGACTTATGGACGATGGTAACGTCAAACTCGTGCAGCCGCAAGCTCCACCGTGCTAGCCGTCCTGAAGGGTCGCGCAGGCTTGCCAACCAACAGAGGGCGTGGTGGTCCGTCGCTATCTTGAAGGGACGACCATAAAGGTACGGGTGAAACTTGGTGATTGCCCACACGACTGCAAGGCACTCCTTTTTTGTAGTGTATTAATTCGCCACGGCCACAGAGAAGCCGAAATGGCGTGAATCGCGTGGTCTCTTGCACGGCGGTATTATACGCGAAGGTCACAGAAGATAAGATCCGGTCCCATGTTTTGTGCTTGTCACGGACGGCCATTTTTGGCGACACCGCGTCACGGCAATTAACGGGCGCCGTACTCCCCGACTGACCGTGAGAAACGGTGGCGCATGAAAGGGAGCCGAGAAGTGCAAAATGGGGTGCTCTTCTTAGAACGTCGCCGCCGCCGGTTAATCCTGTTGTAACTGTGGCGGCGTCTGCAAGGTCGTAGAAGGCCGCGGTATACCCCGAACAAGGATTAGACTACGAGACACACCGGCTGAGAGCCAAACGTTTGACCGTTCCCACGGGGAAAAGCGTGGGAAACGCTCTGGTGGCCAAGCCGTATGACAACAACCCGACAGGTTGTCACTCTCGCTAGTTGAGGGCCCTCTCCCAATTAAAAAGGGGTTGGGTCAACATATTTTTGGGGCGGAGTTTCCCATCAGTTAAACGCGCATGATTGGACCCAGATAGAGGTCTCTTGTCCCCAAGGAAGAGAGCGAGGAGACACGAGGGGGATTTAAGCGCAGGATTTTGCCCTGCTAGGCTGACTAGTCGCTGACCAAGATGGGGTAGAAACAGATCAACAAGCATCTCTTCTAGAAGTTTTTAGTGTGGCTCTGTATCGGCTGGCCACCTTAACTTAGCCGTTCGTCTAGTTGTGACGCGATATTAACGTCTGCAACGTAGACATCGGGACTTCGCCTCGAGTTAGCTCAACCTGCTCGAAGTCACCTGCAAGCACTAGCCTCCCGGAGCCACCAGCGTTGCAACACCGCCGACATCGCAGTTGTGCCAGAACTCTCTTCGACTTCTCGCGTCCGATCGTCGGGGGGGACACAACGCTGCCGGTCATCACACGTATGCCTTCACCTGTTTATATCTTCGAACTTTCTCCTGCGTAGTTCTATTGTTGTTAGATTGTGTAGTTTGTAATAGTTCTCTTGCGTAAGCTGATTTATTGTTTTTGTATGTATTTTTTAGTTGTATCAAGTGTTGATGTATTTTGTTAGTTGTATTGAAGTGTTGTATTAGATCCCGTGTGCTGCAATATCACTACAGTAAAGTTTGTTTTGTTTTCTCACGTCTCTGATCTTTTCACTGTCTCTGGTTGCGTACGGAACGAACCAACCTGCTGTCATTCCCGTCGCCGACTTCGTGCTAGCGACGCTAGAGTGGCAGCTTGTAACAGTGCTGTACGTCAATGTACATTGAGATCATGTCTGCGAGGGTCTTATTCAGTCGCTCAGTAAGTCCGAAGGTTTGTGGGTGGTACCCAGTTGTCTTTCTGTGCCTGGTATTGCTCAGTTTGAAAACTTCTTCCATAAGTTGCACCGTGAATGCCGACCCTCTGTCCGTTATTATACTGGAAGGAGTAAAACGACTGAATAACACCTTCGCAGACATGATCTCAATGTACATCGACGTACAGCACAAAACATGGGACCGGATCATGCCTTATGTGACCTTCGCATATAATACCGCCGTGCAAGAGACCACGCGATTCACGCCATTTTGGCTTCTCTACGGCCACGAAGTGCAGACCATGCTGGACTCTATGCTACCGTGTCAAGACGAAGACGAGTAGGCAACTGATGCCAAAGAATTCACAGAGCGCGCTAAGGAAACCCGGTAGCTCGCGCGACTGCACATCGGCCAGCAACAGCAGGCAGACGCACGACCCTATAACACCCGCCACAGAGAAGTGTTTTACAACCCCGGAGACCAAGTTTGGGTGTGGACGCCCGTCCGCCGCTGTGGCCTTAGTGAAAAGTTACCGAGCAGGTATTTTGGCCCATATAAAGTGTTACCCCGCGTCATTGACGTGAACTACGAAGTGGTTCCGGACTCAACATCCCAGGCACGGAGCAGGACACGACCGACGCCGGACGTCGTTCCTGTGTTGCGCATGAAACCATTTATTGCGCATTGTTAGTAACTTTGTCTTTATCGTACACCGCTCTTTAGGTTATTTACTTACTTTTGTGAACTTGCTTCTTCGTTCATTGACTTTTTCTATATTGGCACGCTGTTTAATTTCTACTTTTACTTTATCCGAATTTCCAATTTCTTTTTTTTTTTACATGCGTATGTTGTAACATCGGGGTTGGGCTATGTATTTTTCTTTCCCTCTTTTGGGACTGTTTTTTTTTTTTTTTTTGAAAGGGGGGACAATGCCACCCACACGTAGTGGGTTGATTGCAAGAGCTTATCTCAATCTGGAGGAAAAAAAAAAAGAAGATCACGTGCTTCTTCTCCGCTCGAGAGCCAGCCACGACTGACACATCGTCCTAGAGCTAGCTACTCAGTGGTTTAATAAACCACCCCCAGTACTTGTGATTCATCGTGACAATATTAATGAGAACAGACAATAATGCCAAAGAAAGCGTAGAGGGTGTACGTAGTAATAGTAATGTAAATGCGAAGAAAGAAAAGTAGATTAAAAGGTCACTTGGTGCCAGCAGTGACCAAATTTGCAACATTATGGCGCTCTACCATTCGAGGTACGGCGACAATCGCCCCCCCCCCCCCCCCTCCATGCATGCATTTAAAAATGGGAGTGTCATGCAGAAAGTTTTCTTTCTTCACATTCACATTACATTTCTATACTTTTATTGGCATCAGTATCTGTTTGTTTTCATTATTATGGTGCCAACAAAGAAAAATGAGTCCTTAAAATTTTCCTTTTATTTTCCCTCTAAACAAAAGGAGATAGTTTGCACAAAGCCCACACTGACTACTGTCCCCTCATGACTCCGCATGCATTTGTTGGCTTCCACTGCTATAAAATGCAGTGCGTTTCATGTCAGTAAAAATTGTTGGAGCTGGCACCCGTCCTGTCATGCACTTGATTCCATCTAATGTAGTACTACCATATTTTAAGCAAACAGGCATTTGCTAACTGCAAGGTCATGCAGTGCAGCTCACCACAGTCTCAGGGTAGCCGCGACATGACATTCTTCCTCTGCTGTTGCCAGAACTGCAGCGGAGCCAACTGCAAGAAAATGTGAAAATGTCATCTTGCAAGTGTGAATATCACAGCAGCCATTTCATTAGGACTGAATTCTGGCACAGAGAGTAAAGCTAACATTATTCAAACATACATCATATAAAACCTCATAAATGCAAAGTTGCATCTGATACAAAAGCACTTACATTTTATTTATTTACACTCATACCTACAGCACCATTCAGGCATTACAGTGGGGGCTTACAGAGAGAATTTATACACCATACATTTCAAGAACATTGGTAGAGAAAAAAAACAAAAATAGAATTAGAACCATGATAACTAAGGAGAAATAGTGGCATATATTGTTGTCAATACACATCAGTGACATAAAGGTCATCTAACCTACACGAAGAAAGAGAAAAAAAGTTTTACTGTACAAACATAAAACACACAAAACTATGTGATAAAAACTAAACAGTGCATAAAATTCAACTGCAGGCGAAGAACGAGATATCAAAGAGCGGCCACAAAAGCTTCATTATTTAGTATGCTCACCGTATCAGCATGCAGAAAGTTTCCTTCAGAAACTGTTTTGGGGAAAAAAAGTGCTTTAAAACAAGATTAGTCCTGCTACTATATTCTCTAATTTTGAGCTCATGATCTGTTCATCTTAATATATAATGAGACTAAAAAATGTATCAATTGCAGTCTATTCCAATGTGGCCATAAATATATTGTGAAAAAGGTTCAAGCGTGAAATTTGCCATCTTTTTTTTAGAAGCTTTCATTTTAATGTGTCCTTTATAGCACTAATGCCAAGGTTTCTTTCATAGCTACTAATAACATACCTTCCACACATGTTCTGAACTATCTCAAGTTTGATGCAATGGGCATTTCATGGGAGGGTCCCACATAGTGCACCCATACTCTAAAATTGGTCTGATGTAGCTCTTGTAGAGAAGACCGCGGGCCTGCTGAAAAGTCAGCTTTGTGTTACATTGCAAGAATTCTGACATCTTACATGCCTTTGCTGTAATGAAATCGACGTGCCTGTGCCAACACAAGGATGATCTAAGGAACACGCCCAAGTACTTATACTGAGAAACAGTTCATAACGGAAAACCACACAGATTTTAAGGCGTCGATGTTATACTTTTTTTTTTTTCGGAACGCATGTGGACAGTTTCTGCACGTTTACTTGCATTTGTGATTCACGGCACTAGTTTTCTATTTTAGTTAAATCACTTTGTAAAATAACAGTATCCGCGATGCTTGTAACTTCCCTATATATTATTAGATCATCGGCAAACAACTTGATGGAAGAAGTTGTCATGAGTAAGAGGACACAAGGCCCGGGTCCTGGATCAGAGATACCAGAATTTTTCCATCTTCCGGCACAGTCATTTATCGTCCTGGGTGGCAAGAACGGATTGGGAGAAGTTCGCGGCTGTGACCAAAAACTAGGACATAAACAAGGAGGAGACTATAGAGTTTTTTAAGATGGCTTAGCAACAGGAAAGAGAGCATTACCAGCACGAGCGAGTGCACGAGCAGGATGAACGAATAATCGCAGAGCAGGAAATAAAAAAAAAAATTTAGAATAGAAATTACGTCTGACATAAGTGAATGAGGCATCTCGAGATGATGCAAGTGCAGTTAGTGCATCATTGACGGCGTTGGGCAATTCGCTATCTCTCAGAAGAAAGCTTCTCTGCCCTCGTAATTTGATGGAACCCTTCGCTGAGAAGGGACTACTTAGATGCCTATTTGCATCGTTTCAAAAGGATTGCGGTAGGGCAAGGCTTGGAGAGAAGTGAGTGGGCCAATGCCTTGAGTCTTTGTCTAGTAGGAGAGGCACTAAGTATGTTTGGCAGCATGCCAGCAGAGGAGTCGCTAGAAAACGATTTGGTCAAGAAAACTTTATTGGAGCGATTCCGACTGACAGCAGGTTTCGGGAAAAGTTCCGCAGAACGTTTAGGCCTCAGAACACCGAGACTGGCATGCAGTTCGTCTGCCGCTTTGCTAACTATATTAATCGCTGGATCAAGCTGTCGGAGGCCGAAAAAACATACTGTTATGTTTAGAAGTGTGTTTATTACGCTGTGGCGTACTGGTAGACTTGAAAAGGTCGTGCACCAGAGGCCTACCTCGCTAGCCGAACGTCCTCTTCTCTAATATGCCTGTTCCCCGCTACCCAGAGGCTCATACTCAAATCACATATGCATAACATTTCCCTCCACACAGACGAAGCCTACCGGGCGAGTTAAAGAGTCTCTCTGAGAATATAGCGCTTCAAACGTGCTATATGGACAAGTTCAGTTTTTGCAGATCGTCGGCCATTTGAATGAAGACGTGCTACGCAATAAGTTAAATCGCTTATGCTGTCTAGAAACCCATAAGGTCCCGCATAGTGTGCCAGCAATTTTTCACACAACCCACGTTTCCTATTTGGCGTCCACAGCAACACGAGGTCTCCGCAATTATACATCACATGTCGACGCTGACGGTCAAAACGTGTCTTCGAGCAATCTTGCGAAGCGAGGGTGCACAGGTAAGCAAGATGTCGGGCTTCTGCACGGCAGACGATCTCGGATATGCCGGAATCATGGTGGTCCAAAAACGGGAAGACGGTATCTAGGGTATGACGAGGTGGCCAAGCATACAGAAGAAAGAACGGACTGTAGCTGGTAGTCTCATGCTGTGCGGTGTTAAATGCCTAAGTGATGAAAGGTAGCCATCCCAGTTCTTGTGATCTGCTGCGACATAGAAAGCATGTTCGTGAAAGTCCTGTTCGTTCAGTCAGGCCGTTTGTTTGGGTATGATATGACGTGGAGTGCGGAAAGCTTGAAGCGCATAGACGAAGCATCTCTTCCACCACGTCTGCAGTTAATTGTCGCCCACGATCACTGATAACAATATTAGGAGGTTTATGTCGTAGAACCACAAAACACAGCATGAATAAACACACATCAGCTGCAGTTCTTGAAGGTATAGCAACTGTCTCGTAGCACCGTGTAAAGTGATCGGTACATACGACTATCCAGCGTTTGCCATTAGAAGACCTCAAAAAGGGACCTAGAAGGTCAATATCAACTTGCTCGAATGAAGTTCTAGGGGGTGGAATGGGATGTAGTCGCCCTGGAAGAACACTGGTAGGGCGCTTGCGGCGTTGGCACTTCTTGCAACTAGAGACGTACTGTTCCGTTGTCTGGCGCATTTTCGGCCAGTAAAATCTTTCTTGAAGCCGGCAAAGAGTTTTCGCTCTGCCTAGATGGCCGGACGTTGGGTCATCATGCATAGCCTGCAAGACGGAAGCGCGAAGACTCTTCAGAACCACGAGAAGATATCGTAAGCCGGTCGTAGCATAGTTCTTTTTGTACACAAGCCCGTCGCGCATGCAGAAGCGAGTCGCCAATAATCTTGACTCGGTAGGAAGGAGTTCCTGTATGGTGCGGTCCCTTTGCTGCTGAATTTAAAAGGCGTTGCTATAAGGAAATGGCCGGTCCAACAGCGCGATATAGGTGTCAAAGCTGTCCGCATCGCAGTCCGTCGATGTAAGCGGTAGTCACGAAAGACAATCTGCATCAGCGTGACGAGGACCGCTCTTATAGGAAACCGTAAAGTTGTATTCCTGCAGACGGAGTGCCCAGCACGCTAGTTGACCATATGGGTCACGCAGATTGACCAACCAGCAGAGCAAATGATGATCTGTCATGATGGTAATGGGCCGTCCGTACAGGTATGACTGGAAGCGCTGCACTGCGAAGACTACTGCAAGGCATTCTTGCTCTGTGACGGTGTAGTTAAGCTCGAACCTGCTTAGCGAGCGACTTGCATACGCAACGACATGTTCTTTGGTATCCAAGCGTTGAACCAACACGGCGCCTACACCGACACCACTAGCGTCTGTGTGAAGTTCAGTGGGAGCCAGAGGATCGAAGTGTCGAGGAATCGGATGGGATGTCAAAAGGAAGTTCAACTCAGAAAAAGCGGACGTACATTCCGGAGTCCAGTCAAATGGCGCGCCTTTCTGAAGCAGGCCCGTGAGTGTGTGCGCGATATTGTCAAATCCAGGGATGAATCAACGGAAGTATGAGCAGAGGCCCAAAAAGCTGCGTAGTTCTTTCGCTGAGTGAGGTTGCTTGAACGCCTCCACTGCAGCCGTTTTCGTGGGATCCGGCCGCATGCCTTCTTTGTTCACCAAGTGTCCAAGGACGAGTGTTTGGCGTTCTGCAAAACATTTCTTTTAGTTGAGCACTAAGCGTGCTTTGCTTAGGCAGTTCAGCATGAGGCCGAGGCGTGTGTTCTGATCACAAAAAGTGCACCCAAAAATCACAACATCGTCCAGATAACACATGCATACTTCCCACTTCAAACCATGCAGAATGTTGTCCATGAAGCGTTCAAAAGTTGCCAGCGCATTGCATAGTCCGAATGGCATCACATTGAATCCAAAAAGTTCACTCCGCTCACTCCACGAAACATATCAGCACGGTCCCAACGGAACATAACCTTTCGTCCAAGAAGGAATTTGAATGCTAGACTCATGGTTGCACCGGTGTCCACTAAGGCCATTGTTTTCGCAGCAGCTTTGGTATCTCGTGAGATGCGCTTCCAGGGAATGTTGGTGTTCGTGCAAAGCCGGACAGGTGGGATCTCGGTGAGCGGTCGTACCTTGGCGGCTGCCGGTAGTTGCACTACCTGGCAATGTGCCCTTCGACGCCGCAGTTGTAGCAGACGGGTAGGGATCGTTCGCCGAACCACTGCTGAGAGCGCTCCGCTGTGTAAGGTCGCCTACCTGAACGGAGTGGAGCAGCTTGCTGAACGGGAACTGCCCACCTCTGTGTAGCGGGGCAGGTACGATGGCATCCGTCATACCGCTGGTCAGGCGCGAATGAGTCTCGGCATGGCCAGGAAGTTCCAGCTTTGCTAAAGTCTGTCACACATACCGATGGTGGCACAGGAGCGAACGGCGCCGGGTAGTAGGATGAACAGGTAGGCAGATGATGGATGGTGCCGTCGACCAGTGTGTCTTGTCGCTG